CCTAGTGGGGGTGTTCGGTGTTCGCATGCGGTTCCCTTACCCAGGGCAGCGTTTCGTGGCCCCATAGGGAGCTCCACCGAAGGCCCCAGTGGGGGTGTTCGCATGCGGTTCCCCCACCCAGGGCAGCGTTTCGTAGCCCCATAGGGAGCTCCACCGAAGGCCCCAGTGGGGGTGTTCGCATGCGGTTCCCCCACCAGGGCAGCGTTTCGTGGCCCCATAGGGAGCTCCACCGAAGGCCCCAGTGGGGGTGTTCGCATGCGGTTCCCCCACCCAGGGCAGCGTTTCGTAGCCCCATAGGGAGCTCCACCGAAGGCCCCAGTGGGGGTGTTCGCATGCGGTTCCCCCACCCCGGGCAGCGTTTCGTGGCCCCATAGGGAGCTCCACCGAAGGCCCCAGTGGGGGTGTTCGCATGCGGGTCCCCCACCCAGGGCAGCGTTTCGTGGCCCCATAGGGAGCTCCACCGAAGGCCCCAGTGGGGGTGTTCGCATGCGGTTCCCCCACCCAGGGCAGCGTTTCGTGGCCCCATAGGGAGCTCCACCGAAGGCCCCAGTGGCGCAGTTCGCATGCGGGTCCCCCACCCAGGGCAGCGTTTCGTAGCCCCATAGGGAGCTCCACCGAAGGCCCGCCCCGGTGGCGCAGTCCGCATGCGGTTCCCCCATCCAAGGCAGCGCTTCGTGGCCCCATATGGAGCTCCCGATGGACCCAGTGGGCGCAGTAGTTGAGCACTTGGACGTGTGGCGGGCAGCGTTTCGTAGCCCCATAGGGAGCTCCACCGAAGGCCCGCCCCGGTGGCGCAGTCCGCATGCGGTTCCCCCATCCAAGGCAGCGCTTCGTGGCCCCATATGGAGCCCCACCGAACGCGGCACCCACAACGCGTTACCAACAATTGCTTATGGTTGGGTCTTTCGCCAGGATAATTTCCCAACCATCCTGTGGTGTTGGGTCCTCGTTTTGAAGAGACGGTGCCCCGCGTTCCTCCTTCCTCCTCCTCCCCCTCCTCCCTCCTCCCCCTCCTTGCCTCTGCTCTCGGCACACCTCTCACGCGTTTCGTAGCCCCACAGGGAGCTCCACCGAAGGCCCCAGTGGGGGTGTTCGCATGCGGTTCCCCCACCCAGGGCAGCGTTTCGTGGCCCCATAGGGAGCTCCACCGAAGGCCCCAGTGGGGGTGTTCGCATGCGGTTCCCCCACCCAGGGCAGCGTTTCGTAGCCCCATAGGGAGCTCCACCGAAGGCCCCAGTGGGGGTGTTCGCATGCGGTTTCCCCCACCCAGGGCAGCGTTTCGTGGCCCCATAGGGAGCTCCACCGAAGGCCCCAGTGGGGGTGTTCGCATGCGGTTCCCCCACCCAGGGCAGCGTTTCGTGGCCCCATAGGGCGCTCCACCGAAGGCCCCAGTGGGGGTGTTCGCATGCGGTTCCCCCACCCAGGGCAGCGGTAGCCCCATAGGGAGCTCCACCGAAGGCCCCAGTGGGGGTGTTCGCATGCGGTTCCCCCACCCAGGGCAGCGTTTCGTGGCCCCATAGGGAGCTCCACCGAAGGCCCCAGTGGGGGTGTTCGCATGCGGTTCCCCCACCCAGGGCAGCGTTTCGTAGCCCCATAGGGAGCTCCACCGAAGGCCCCAGTGGGGGTGTTCGCATGCGGTTCCCCCACCCAGGGCAGCGTTTCGTGGCCCCATAGGGAGCTCCACCGAAGGCCCCAGTGGGGGTGTTCGCATGCGGTTCCCCCACCCAGGGCAGCGTTTCATTAGGGAGTCCACCGAAGGCCCCAGTGGGGGTGTTCGCATAGGGCAGCTCCACCGAAGGCCCCAGTGGGGGTGTTCGCATGCGGTTCCCCCACCCAGGGCAGCGTTTCGTGGCCCCATAGGGAGCTCCACCGAAGGCCCCAGTGGGGGTGTTCGCATGCGGTTCCCCCACCCAGGGCAGCGTTTCGTGGCCCCATAGGGAGCTCCACCGAAGGCCCCAGTGGGGGTGTTCGCATGCGGTTCCCCCACCCAGGGCAGCGTTTCGTAGCCCCATAGGGAGCTCCACCGAAGGCCCCAGTGGGGGTGTTCGCATGCGGTTCCCCCACCCAGGGCAGCGTTTCGTGGCCCCATAGGGAGCTCCACCGAAGGCCCCAGTGGGGGTGTTCGCATGCGGTTCCCCCACCCAGGGCAGCGTTTCGTGGCCCCATAGGGAGCTCCACCGAAGGCCCCAGTGGGGGTGTTCGCATGCGGTTCCCCCACCCAGGGCAGCGTTTCGTAGCCCCATAGGGAGCTCCACCGAAGGCCCCAGTGGGGGTGTTCGCATGCGGTTCCCCCACCCAGGGCAGCGTTTCGTGGCCCCATAGGGAGCTCCACCGAAGGCCCCAGTGGGGGTGTTCGCATGCGGTTCCCCCACCCAGGGCAGCGTTTCGTGGCCCCATAGGGAGCTCCACCGAAGGCCCGCAGTGGGTGGTTCGCATGCGGTTCCCCCACCCAGGGCAGCGTTTCGTGGCCCCATAGGGAGCTCCACCGAAGGCCCCAGTGGGGGTGTTCGCATGCGGTTCCCCCACCCAGGGCAGCGCTTCGTGGCCCCATGGGAGCTCCACCGAAAGCCCCCGTGGCGCAGTTCGCATGCGCTTCCCCCACCCAGGGCAGCGTTTCGTGGCACCATAGGGAGCTCCACCGAAAGCCCCAGTGGCGCAGTTCGCATGCGGTTCCCCCACCCAGGGCAGCGTTTCGTAGCCCCATAGGGAGCTCCACCGAAGGCCCGCCCCGGTGGCGCAGTCCGCATGCGGTTCCCCCACCCAAGGCAGCGCTTCGTGGCCCCATATGGAGCCCCACCGAAAGCGGCACCCACAACGCGTTACCAACAATTGCTTATGGTTGGGTCTTTCGCCAGGATAATTTTGTGTTTTTCGTTTTTTCTTCTTCTGTCTTTGCATATGGGTATTTATTCCACTCAGTATCATTCAATCTTTCTTTCTTTCGCTATCCCCCCAAATAGTAATTATTGTTTCTGCCGTCATTACATGCCTATATCTATATCCGTAAGGGCTTCGCCCCCTGCCGCCAGCCCCCTCTCTCGGAGAATGGGCCATGGAAGAGCTAAGTCATGAGGCCTTGGCGCTGTCGTGAAGCAGTATCGAAACTTCATGCGAAGCCGATTCGCAATCAGCAAAACCAATTGATCACAAGAGGGGTTACCACACCTGGCGATTGGTAAGACGTGTATGGTTTACGGGCTTGGTTACCACACCTTGCGATTAAAGGGCCGAGGGAGTTCTCGCAGTTTGGGTTACCACGCCTTGCGATGGATGTGCGTGAAGGGTGGCACCGAATTTCAGAAATGTGGCAAATCCCCTGTGTTTTTGGACCCTGACCCCGCGGATCTGCGTAAGGGGTGGCGCCGAATTTCAGAAATGTGGCAAATCCCTGTGTTTTTGGACCCTGACCCCGCGGATCTGCGTGAGGGGTGGCACCGAATTTCAGAAATGTGGCAAATCCCTTGTGTTTTTGGACCCTGACCCCGCGGATCTGCGTGAGGGGTGGCACCGAATTTCAGAAATGTGGCAAATCCCTGTGTTTTTGGACCCTGACCCCGCGGATCTGCGTGAGGGGTGGCACCGAATTTCAGAAATGTGGCAAATCCCTTGTGTTTTTGGACCCTGACCCCGCGGATCTGCGTGAGGGGTGGCACCGAATTTCAGAAATGTGGCAAATCCCATGTGTTTTTGGACCCTGACCCCGCGGATCTGCGTGAGGGGTGGCACCGAATTTCAGAAATGTGGCAAATCCCATGTGTTTTTGGACCCTGACCCCGCGGATCTGCGTGAGGGGTGGCACCGAATTCCAGAAATGTGGCAAATCCCCTGTGTTTTTGGACCCTGACCCCGCGGATCTGCGTGAGGGGTGGCACCGAATTTTAGAAATGTGGCAAATCCCATGTGTTTTTGGACCCTGACCCCGCGGATCTGCGTGAGGGGTGTCGATTTCGAGCCCCCCCAGCAATTCAGACAACGCGCCCAGGGGGTGCTAAAAATCTGGTTTGGGCCTCCCCCCCCCTCGCGCGGTCAATCAACTAGTTACAGTAACCAGCAATAAGTCAACTAGTTACAGTAACCAGCAAGAAGCAGAACTGTAACACTGGAAACTACAAGCTACAACTGGTACAGGAAACTGCGAACCTCGCTCCTACAGCCTGGTGGCCCCACAAGGGGGCCGGCGGATATATCTATATATATATATATACACAGGTATATACATGTTCTTTCTGTGTCTGAGGCGTTCCAGAGAGGGCCTCGCCTTCGAGGGTCGAAGGAGTCGGCGTGTCTTCCTCGGGGGAAAAGCGGTGTAAGGCTGGCGGACAGCGGCGGAAGTAAAACGGCGGTGACTCCGCTGGCGGAAGTTGGCTGAACGTTGGCGGAAGCCGGCGAAAGTAAAACATGCGCCTGTCTGGATCGGAGTTCTTCCTCATCGTTATCTCCCCGTCCTTTCCCCTCCTCCGACTCCCTCGGGTCCTCTTGCTCCTCCCGCTTCTCCCACTCCAGTTCCCGCCGCTGCTGTTCGTCCTGGTCCTCCTCCTTCTCCTTCTTCCTCGTCCTTCTCCTTTTACTCCTGCTCATCCTCCTGCTTATCCTCCTGCTCATCTGCCACGTCCTCCTCCTCTCCCTCCTCCTACGTGCGCAGCTCTCCTCTTCCGATTCCGCACAGAACGACGGGGTCTTTTAGGGGGGATCTCCAGGTCCGCTGTGAGAAGCGTTCCGGGGATAGAGAACAACTCAGCGCAATGGGACGGGATGTGTGGGAGGGATCGGATGTCAGATATGGCGCCAGCGCGCCTAGCTTGGCCTCTTCCTCTCTCTCTGCCTCGTCCTCCTTGTCCCATGCTCATCCTTGTCATCGTTGACATCCTCACCGTCGCCCTGCCTTTCTCGTCTTTGTCGTCGCTGTCCCTTTGTCGTCGTCATCGTCACCATCGTGATCATTATCCGAGTCGTATTCTTATTCTGAGGGCTGTGTGTCTTTGCGCGAACGCCAAGTTGAGCAGGAGCAGCATCCGCAGCATCCACTGCTGATGCAGAGCCCGCAGCAGCAGGAGCCGCAGGAGCAGCCAGACCCGCAGAACCCTTGGCAGCGGCGACAGCAGGGCCTTCAGCAGCAGCAGCAGCAGCCGCAGGAGCAGCCGCAGCAGCAGGATCCGCAGGCGCAGCCAGAGCAGCAGAGTCGGAAGCTGCTGCCCCCGCAGACATGGCGGCAACAGCACATGCAAGCTCAGCAGCAGCAGCAGATGCAGCAGGCCCAGCAGCAGCAACAGCGGCAGCACCTGCTGTTGATGCAGAGTTCGCAGCAGCAGCAGCAGCAGCAGCACCAGCAGCAGACGGATACGCAACTGCAGCCTCCGCCAGCATCGACGCTCTCACCTCTTGAGGTGCAGGGAGGTGCAGCAGGCGCCACCTGCAGGATGAAGCGGAGGGCACGGGGTGGAGGAGGGGGTGGAGGAGTAGGAGTAGGAGTAGGAGTAGGAGTAGGAATCAAGCTAGCCAGCTCGAGCGAGTCAAGCATGGCATGCCCAGTCCCACCCGCCCTCCCACAACATAAGAAGCAAAGCTGGCACAACTGGGGGCCGAAGTCACACCGGCCAGCCGGTTTGGTACAGCTGATGCGGCCGCGATGGCGGTTGCCGACGGGAACTGGCGAGCGCGTGTTGAATGCCGCGCACGCATTGCCAGACGAGTCGAGAATGGCCCGGTACACCGCAGGAAGCCAGAGGTGGCCGGAGGAAGCCCGACGGTCTGACAGGACACCCCAAAGCATTTTTGTGAAAAAGCATTGGGTTTTTGATGTTTTTATGTTGAAATGCTTGCAAACACACGGTGTTCGGTAGGATTCTGACATGAACGCGCGAGTGTGCTCTTTGTGGTATTTTTTGCACAGGATTCGCGGCCTGGGTGCATGACAGAGCATCGCGAGTGCACCGCGCGATGACGTGAAATCGCTGGATTTGACCGAATTCTTAAGATTCCTATGGTTTTCCTATGATTTCAGCAAGAGAGCCCGGGCGGGAAATTTGTACAATTTTTGTGAAAAAGCATTGGGTTTTTGATGTTTTTATGTTGAAATGCTTGCAAACACACGGTGTTCGGTAGGATTCTGACATGAACGCGCGCGTGTGCTCTTTGTGGTATTTTTTGCAATGGATTATCGCCGTGGACGACAGGACGTCCATGTCGAGAGGAAAAAATAAGAAAAATGTTGATTTTGTATTGTTTTTTACAGGTTAGGATGGGACCACCCGGATGCGGCCCCTATTGGCCGGCCTGAGGGGGGAGTAGGAGTATATTCTAATAAGGAATAAGGATAGGAGTAGGAGGAGTAGGAGGAGGAGGAGGAGGAGGAGGAGGAGGAGGAGGAGGAGGAGGAGGAGGAGGAGGAGAGGAGGAAGAACGAGAGAGAGAAGAGAGAGAGAGAGAGAGAGATTGAAAGAGATGGTGAGGAGAAAGAGGATGCGGAGGAGGAGGAGGAGGAGGAGGAGGAGGAGGAGGAGGAGGAGGAGGAGGAGGAGGAGGAGGAGGAGGAGGAGGAGGAGGAGGAGGAGAAGGAGGATAGCCTCCAGCAGCTCGAGCTCGGCCGCCGATGCAAACTCTGATGACCAGACCCTCAGACTTGTTCGAGAATCGGCGGTGCACGAGACACCAGGTTTGGAGCAGTGGGTTCGACAGCATTCGGTCAAGTACATCAAGTTGCCAGACGCCCAGCAGCCTTCGTCTCCTTTGCAGTACGCTCCAGCCGATTCTATGCAGATGGTGAAGTTTCTCGAAGATGAGAGGATGAAATGGTGGCCGGTTGCCGAAAATAGCCCACCCATCCAGTGGCTCAGGGACCTGGGAAAGAACCATACACACCCACCATTGAACACCTCGAGAAAGTGCTCAAACCGTTTCTTGAGGGAACGGGCTGTGACTTCGACCAGCTGCCTCCGAGGCAGCTCCCTTAGGAAGCTCCAGAGTTGATCTGCCAGCTTATCTCTATGAGAAGGCATCAGGTCGAGTGGTCGGCGATGACTACGCTAATCGTGTTCAACCTCAAGAGTCGTGGCGGAGGCAGGCCACTCGGTCTTTTGCATTGCTGGTGTCGTGTGCAGGCTCGTCTCAGGCGTGACTTCTTGAGGGGCTCGCAGGCGCCAACTATCGAAACTTCTGGTGGGCTGTTCAAGGCAAATCAGCAGAGCTCTCAGTGTGGCTTCAGGCTGGCTGGGCGGAGCATCACAGCCACACAGCCAGCGACTCGGCTGCCCGCCTCGTCGATCTAGAGAAAGCTTTCAAACTCATTTGGCACGAGCACGTCGAAGTTTCCACTCTGGCAACTCAAACTGTTCTGACTTACGGAGCCGCCACTTCATCCTGGAGCTGCATGGCCTTGCAGCGAACGTTTTTTAGGCTGGTAGACCATTTTGAATGGCCGTCTTTCTGCGACTTTCCTCTTGCAGCTCATTTTCCCAATCAGTGCTTGCACTGAAGAGTCCTAGCGGAAGTTCAAGGATTTGGCGAAAGTTCCCCGCCGGTTTTGGTGGCAGGCTGGGTTCCCGGGTTCCCGGTTCCGGGTTCCCAGGTTTCCTGTTTTGGGCCGATTTCGGAGGGCGGCGAGGTTCCCGGGTTCCCAGGTTTTTGGTCGATCTTCTTATCGATCGGTCTCACTATCGATCTCATTACCGACTTCTCGATCGACCTCACCATCGATCTCACAATCGATCTCACTATCAATCTCACAAGCGATCTCATTAGAGATCACATGAGCGATCTCGCGATCGATCTCACTATCGATCTCATTGAATCGATTTCACTCTCGGTCTCACGATCGACCTTACAATCGTCGTCACTATCTACTCCACTTTCGATCTCATTATCGATCTCACAATTGATCTCAAGATCTATAGTATCAATTTTCAAATCATCCACCGATTGGGTTTTCTCAGGTGTAATGATTGGCCCTTCGGATGCTGCGCGTCAGGAGTATCCCGTTGTACCCTTAAATGTGTTTGTTTGTTTGTTTGTGTGTGTGGATGGTGTGAATCTTCAGCGATGTGGGGAAGCTAAGCGTGTTTTGGACGAAATCTCGGGAACTTGGTGCCTACTGAAGCACGAGTTGCATCAGGTAGGCAACATCGTTGCCATTCAAGTCTCGGGTGCTGGCTAGTTGCCCCGACCTGCAAACAGAGCTGCAGCAAAACCTCATCCCCGTCAAAGCAGTTGGTGTGCATTCTGGGCGTAACTTTGGAGTTGATTTTTCCAGCGCGCGTGCCACCAGGAGGCGCGCGTGCTGCCCGCATCCCAGTTGCCAGGCAGATGCCCAAGCGACCGCAACACACTCAGGGAGCACATGAACGTAAGAGAAGACTTTGCAGTACATCGTGGGGCCTCCCTTAAACCATCGGCTACCTTTGGCGGGAGCGTTCAGGGCGCGAACACGACGGAGCTGGAGGCCTTGCGTGCCATGGTAGCTGCTGCGTTAGGGCTCTCGAGGTGCTGGCCGCTCCGCGAATGTAGTTTTGATGAGCCGCGCTGGAGCCCGTGGAAGCCTTCGTGCACGGCCTTGGGACGGAGCCCATGCCGCTCAAGACTTTGGCGAAGCGTCTTGCTGCTGTCGCTGCGCGTCTGGGCTTCTGCAGTTCCCCCCTGGCGGGCCATCAAGAGGCTCGTCTCGGTTCTTTGGGCCTCGTTGCGCAGAGTTGGGATCGATGCTAGCAAGCTGACGGCGTGGAGAGCAGGTCTTAACCGTAAACGCTAAGTTCTTAACCGTAAGCGTGGTGCCAGACTAATGTACTAGATTAATTGCACCAGGCTAACGTACCAGACTATTGTACCATATTAACATACCAGACTAATGTACCAGACTAATGTACCAGACGAATGTATCAGACTACTGGCGCCAGACTAATGTACCATATGAATGGCACCAGACTAATGGCACCTGGCTAATGGCACCAGACTGAAGTACCAAACAAATATTCCAGATTGGTTTACCAAACTAATGTACACAGTAATGTACCAAACAAATGTACCAGACAGGTGTACCAAACAAATGTACCAGACTGGTGTACCACAGTAATATACCAAGCTAAAGTACCACATTAATTCATCAAATTCATGTACCAAGCTGATGTGCGGAGCGAGTAGTGCCAGGCTAATGGCACCGTGGCACCATGGCCGTGGCGCTGCAGGAAAAAGTCGTGGCGCTGCAGGACAAAAACGCGGTGCTGCAGGATAAATCGTGGCGCTGCAGGAACAAGTCGTGGCGCTGCAGGAAACAAATTGTGGCGCTGCAAGAGAAAGTCGTGGCGCTGCAGGACAAAATCATGGCGTTGCTGGAAAAAGTCGTGCCGCAGCAGAAAAGGCATCGTGGCGCTGCAGGAAAAAAGTCGAGGCGCTGCAGAACAAGTCGTGGCGCTGCATGACAAAGTCGCTGCGTTGCAGGAAAAAGCCGTGGCGCTGCAGGGAAAAGTCGCGGCGCTGCGCTGCAGTAGAAATAGTCGTGGCGCTGCAGGGAAAAAGTAGGGGCGCTGCGCAGCAGGAGAAAAAGTCGTGGCGCTCCAGGAAAAGTCGTGGCGCTACAGGATTAAGTCGTGGCGCTGCAGAAGAAAAGTCGCGGTGCGGCGGGAACAAGTCGTGGCGCTGCAGGACACACGTTGTGGCGCTGCAGGAACAAGTCGTGGCGCTGCAGGAAACAAGTTGTGGCGCTGCAAGAAACAGTCGTGGCGCTGCAGGAAGCAAGTCGTGGCGCTGCAGGAGAAAAACCGTGGCGCTGCAATACAAAATTGTGGCGCTGCAGGAACAAGTCGTTGCGCTGCAGGAAATTCGTGACGTTGCCGGAAAAAGTCGTGGCGCTGTCGCGGCGCTGCGGGAAGGTCGTGGCGCTGCGAACAAGTCGTGGCGTTGCAGGAAAAACTCGTGGCGCTGCAGGAACAAGTTGGGCGTTGCAGGAAAAAACCGTGGCGCTGCCGGAAAAAGTCGCGGCGCTGCAGAAACAGTCGTGGCGCTGCAGAAAAACCGTGGCGCTGCAGGAAAAAGTGGCCAGGGGCAGCCGCGGCTCTACAGGTAAAAGTCGTGGGGCTGCGCTGCAGGAAACAAGTCGTGGCGCTGCAGGAAACAAGTCGTGGCGCTGCCGGGAAAAGCCGTGGCGTTGTAGGCAAAAATGGTGGCTGCAGGGGAAAGTCGCGGCGCTGCAGGAGAAGTCGTGGCGCTGCAGGAAACAAGTCGTGGCGCTGCTGGAAAAGTCGTGGCACTGCAAGGCAAAGTTGCGGCGCTGCTGGAAAAAGTCGTGGCGCTACTGGAAAATGTCGTGGCGCTGCAGGAAGAAGTCGCGGCGCTGCACGAAAAGTCGCGGCCCTGGAGGACTGAGTCGTGGCGCTGCAGAAAGAAGTCGTGGCGCTGCAGAAGCAGTCGTGGCGCTGCAGGAAAAGAATCGTGGCGCTGCGGAAAATAATAGTGGCGCTGCTGGAACAAGTCGTGGCGCTGCAGGGAAAAGTCGTTGCGCTGCAGGAGAAGTCGCGGCGCTGCAGGAAGTATTGGTCATGGCGCCAGACTAATGGCGCCAGGCTGGCGGTACCAACATAGTGTACCAGACTTATGTACCAGTCTAACGTACCTGACGAGCTTGCCAGATTAATGGCACCAGACTGGTGTACCAGACAAATGTACCAGACTAGTGTACCAGACTAATGTACCAGGCTAATGTATCAGACTAGCGTGCCCACGCACCGGACTAACGTACCAAACTAATGTACCAGACTAGTGGCACCGGACTAATGGCACCCGACCAGACTAATGGCACCAGACTAATGGCATTAGACGAGTGGCATTCGACGCATGGCACCATACTCGTGGCACCAGACTATCGGACCAGACTAATGTACCATATTAACGTACCAGACTAATGTACCATATTCTCGGCACCAGACGAATGCACCAGACTACTGCACCAATCTCGCGTACCAGACAAATGGCACCAGGCCAATGTACCTCACTAGTGCACCAAGCGAATGCACCAAACTTATGTACCAGACTAATGGCACCAGACCAAAGTTCCAGACTAACGTACCAGACCAACGTACCAGACTAATGGCACCAGGCTAAGGACACCAGAACAGACTAATGGCACCAGACGAATGGCATCATACTAATGGCACCAGAGTAATAACACCAGACGTATGGCACCAGACTGATGACACCAGACGAATGGCATCAGACTGACGGCGCCAGACTAGCGGTACCAGCCTCGTGTATCAGACTACAGTGCCAGACTAATGTACCAGACTAATGTACCATACTGACGACATCAGACTAATGAACCAGACTAGTGTACCAAACTAGTGCGCCCAAATCATGTACCAGACTAATGGCACCATGCCACTGTACCAGACTAACGTACCAGACCCATGTACCAGACTAATGGCACCAGACTGGTGACACCAAACCAGACTAATGGCACCAGACTGCTGGCACCAGTCTAATGGCACCAGACTGCTGGCATCATACTAATGGCGCCAGACTATAGGGGTACCATACTAGTGTGCCACACTCATGTACCAGACTAATGTATCAGACAACTAAACCAGACTTGTGTACCAGACTAATGTACCAGACTAGCGGCATCAGGCTAGCGGCACCAGGCTAGATCACCAGACGCCTTGGTCTGTTGCTTCAGTCTGGTGTTTGAGTCTGGTGCCGTTTATCTCTGGCCACTCGTCGGGTGCGTTGGTCTGGTCTGTACATTGGTCTGGCACATCAGTCTGGTACATTCGTCCCGTACATTAGTCTTGTACATTAGTCTGGTGCATTTAGTCTGGCACATTCGGCTGGAACCGCGCTTACGGTTAAGAGCTACCCATCATCCTGGCGGTGTTTGAAAAGGCGGTCGTGTTTTGGCAAATGGAGTCGGTTTCAGAACATCTCGGGGTCACTGAGTTCCTGGACGAGATCTGGGTCGAATCCCTGCACGCGCTGTGCCTCTCCTGGATCCTCTCGGCCCAAGGCCGCCTATCTGCGTTCGGTTGCCATCGGGGTCCAGTGGCACCAAGCGCGTCAGCGCACCCAGGGTTGGATTCCAGATCTGGTTTGTTCGTTGTGTCAGAGTGGCGACCGCACGCCTACACATCGCCATGCCAGCTGCTCTCACGTCGACGAGTTAGTTTCGTCTGTGCCCGAGCGCGACTCTGAGCTCGCCAGGGGTCGACCTAAACGGTGTTTCGGCGATTTCGTGGGCCGTTTTCGTTGCGATTACGTTTTGCAGCAAAGGCGGAACGAAGACAACCAGGGAAAACGGAAGCATACCGAAAACGAAACACACCGTTTTGGTCGAGCCCTGTGCCCGAGCGCGTCTTTGAGCTCGCTGCGCGAGCCCGACGCAAAAGGCTGACTTAAGTCCTGCTCGCGCGGGCCACTCTTGCCGAGCCCGCCGTTCCGCCGGACCTCCTGCAGTCTCCCCTGGGAGCCTACTGTCGACGGGAGGATACAGTCGGACCAAGGTATAAGATGGAGGTCGGTTCGTCGAGGGTACCTTGATGTTCTTCGCTTTTGCTGGATGTATCTGTGCATCCTGGGGTGTTTTAGCCGGCGGAGGGCCTCATGTTCTTCAAGGGTGCTCTTCTGTCTTAGGTCTGGCCGTAACCCCATGGGGCTCACTGGAGACGTGCTCTGGGACGGATCGGACCATGAGGACATCCCTCTCTGCCCTGTCGCGGCATTGGCTTGTGTGGCACTGCGCCCAGAAGCTGACGTGTGTATTTAGCCGGCCGCTCTGCGGTTGATCGGGAGTTTCTGTGTATGGAAGAAGGGGCGTGCGCCTGTGCTCGACGACGATGGTGAGAATGAGCGGGCGGTGGTGGTGCGGCGGGTGAGGATCAGGAGGGTGACGATCAGGAGTGCGAGGCTCACGAGCTGGAGGTCCCTGGAGGTCATGCGTCCTCGTCCTCCTCCTCCTCCTCCACATTCTCGCCCTCTCCTCCTCCTCTCGCCTTCCACATTCCTCATCCCTCCTCCGTTCTCCTGCGACTTCCTCCCAGCTCGTCCTTCTCCTTCTCGTGCTCGCCCTCGTGCTAGTCCTCGTTTTCGTCCTCGTCCTCGCCCGGTGCGCCTGGCGCGCCCGTCGCGCCCGGCGCATCGCTGGAAATGGTCCCTGGTGGTGCGCTGGGGGTCCCGATTTTGCGAGGATGTCTCGAGCGAGGGCGCCAGATCGGGACACGCCCAGTGCGCCCGGCGCTTCTGGCGCATCGCCGGAAATGGTCCATGGGGATGCGCTGGTGGCCGGTGGGGCGATTTTGCGAGGATGTCTCGAGCGAGGGCGCCGGATGGGGACACGCTCGGTGCGCCTGGCGCATCGCCGGAACGGGGCCCTGGGGGTGCGCTGGGAGGCGACTTTCTCGCGCGCCGGGGGTCAGGATGACGTGAGTTCCACAGAAATTCTGTCGACTTATCGTGCTCGCTGGTTTTCTTCCTGGGCCGCGCCAGGACACTGATGGTGCTGAGCTTTTCGCGTTGCTGCTGCCGCTGTGGCCGAATCTAGGTCTTGATGGGATTGAGTTTGTTTCGCCCGAGAGAGAAGTCAAGCCTCCCATGTTTTTAGGTCCTGGTCACGACTGGCATTTGCCCCATGCATTCCGGCGTTGTGCGCTTTGTCGGGTCGGGTTTAGGGGTGCCGATTGGCTGCCCTCGGGGACCTGCAGCGGGTCCAATCAGCCCGACCTGGACATTGCTGACGCCAGCGGCCACAGCACCATCATAGGAAGGTGCTCGGACGGGTGCGACTTGTATCTTTGCATTCTGTGCGGTGCCTGTTTGAACCACGGATCTTTTCAGAAGTGCTGCATGTCCAATTTGTGCATCCGTGATTTCAGCAGACACGGCCGCGCGAAGTTCACTATGCGACCCGACTTGAGGGTCGACCTTCCCCTCTTTGACTGGCAATTCAGTGGTAGCCATTTCCTGCCGTGTGGTGCCAGAGGGCTGTGAAACCGCTGACCCTTCCTCGCAGGTGGGCAACGCTCCCTGTTCTGTCTCTGGCGCTGCATCGGCCTCCCAGGCTTTGGACCAGATTCCCCGTGGTGAGGGTGTCGAGCTCGAGCGTGTGCGAGAGTTACACTCCGTGGGGAGGAGGTGGCGGCGCCAGAACCCAGCATTAATTCAGCTGGCCCTGATTAATTGAAGGGGCTTTTTCCCTACCAGGCCTCGCCAATATGGTAGGTGTACGTCGGCAGCTGCCCCGTCGATGTTACCCATTCCCCGCTGCTGCCCCGTGCATCCGCTTCGGGGTGGCAATGCATGACGGCGAACTCATCTCATGCGCTGGTCTCCGGCGCGCAGCCGATCCCAGTTCAAGACCCCGCCCAGCACCAGGGCCTTGGGGCCAGCGGTGGACGTTCCACCGCCTTGGCATTCACGGGCCACACGCAGCCCGCGCTTGAGCAGCATGATGCGTGGCGGCGGCGCAGGCAAGCGCAGCCGCGGCCGCAGGTCTGGAGCCCGGGTGGCTTGATAGGAGGAGGAGGATGAGGAGGAGGATGAGGAGGAGGATGAGGATGAGGAGGATGAGGAATAGGAGGAGGAAGAGGAGTAGGATGAGGATGAGGAGGAGGAGGAGGAGGAGGGAGGAGGAGGAGGAGGAGGAGAGGAGAGGAGGAGGAGGAGGAGGAGGAGGAGGAGGAAAAAGAGGAGGAGGAGGAAGATGAGGAGGAGGAGGAAGATGAGGAGGAGGAGGAGGAGGAGGAGGAGGCAGAGGATGAGGAAGAAGAGGAGGATGATGAGGGACGAGGACGAGGACGAGGAGGAGGACGAGGAGGGCGAGGAGGGGGAGGAGGAGGTAGCCTTGTTCCCCCCCCTTGTCGCCGCTGGCCAGGCTCGGCCACTGTCCAGTCGGCGAACTCGCAGTTGACGCAGGCGCCCAGTGCCGCAGTTGTCGCGCCCCTCGCTCGTTCTCCGCCTGGTTCCCCCTCTCCTGCCCGGGCTTCGATTGTGTCCTGCTGTGGCTGGTTCGTCTGTCCAGCTCTTCCTTCT